TAGAACTAACACAAAATCCATTAGAACTAACACGAACTCAACAAGAACTAACACGACCTGTATATTTGACTTAACATGGAACTGAAACTAGAACTAACATGAAATCCATAATAGTAGTCGTCTATAATGCCTAGTAGTCGACTACACTGTAATTTCACAGTTTCTGGAATTTTTGAACTGAGCCTTAGTAGTCGACTACTAAGTGTATTGGTCGACTACTAACACTTAGATATGAGATATATGATATGTTTTAAGACTCACTCAATATCTATAAACTCTAATGGTTAATTTAGAGGATTTCTATAGTTAACCACACATTAAGCATGTATTAGTGTGTTCTGAACTCTATGTGTGTGTATGTGTGTGAGTGATCAAGGCTTGTACAATATTTCTAAGCAAAGAAAATATAAAATTATATTTTGACAATTAAGCACATCTTCTTCTTTGCTTCATGCTTCCTTGAACTGATCTTATGTCTTGAGTATCTCTTTGAATATCATTGTTGATTTTGCTCTGATACTGCAACACAAACGTTAGCACATAATACACACAACATATAATATTTGTTATCATCAAAACAAACATATCTTGGGGTCAAGATATCCAACAGTTTCTCCATATGTAAATCATTATATTCTTTTACCCTATAAATATTATTAACATTAGAGATTAACGTTTCTAAATTATAATCAATTAATACTAAGCTATTATATTATAATATTTTATTATTTTATAAATTTAAACTTCTATCAATTAATGTTACTTATGTATTTTTGCTGCTTAAACTTCTTAGTAAAATTATATACATTTACTTTGATTTATATAGTGACAATAATTTTAGGCTATTGTATTTTTTCAAATTTTTATTCATTAACCACATGTTTTTAATCAATTCTTATTGATTTTGTTTACCAACATCAACTTGGACTATTTTTAGATACTAAAAAGGGATAATAAACCATAAATTAGAAATTAAATATAAACATCTTAATGAAACAATACCAAACAATTACATTTCCTTTTCCAAGATTTGAAATTTGGGCCTTTTTTGTGGTTTTGAACTTTGAGGGTGTGATTTGTAATTTTTAAAACTTTAGGAGTGTTTTTAAATAAAATTTACTTTTAAGTTTGGTAGTTTTAACCTTTACGTTTCATGTATCGATGGTAATTTTTAAATGTAAGGATATTTCTTGCAACTCTAAAATTCTGAGAGTGTTTTTTGTTATTATTAAAACTTTTGATTATTGTTTAAAAAATTTATATTTCAACGGTCTACAAATGGTTTCTAGATTTGATGTGTACTGGTTATCAATTTTGAAAATTTAGAATTTTTTGTGATTTTTAATTTTTGAATGAGTTTATTTTTTAATTTTTGTAACTTTGAGGTTAATTTTGAAAATTTTTAAAGTTTTAGGCATTTGAGGGTAATCTTTTGAATTCATTTTTGTTGCTTGTAAATTTTAAAATTTTAGTATTGTAGAGTGTTTTTTGTAATTTAAACTTTTGTGGGTGCTTCTATAATTTTTGAGAAATTGAGGGTGTTAATTATAAATTTTATATTCTTCGGAGGCTGTTGTTAATTTCTTAATTTTAAATTTTGTTATTTTATGTTTTGAAACGTCAGAAACTTTCAGGTGCATTATAGTAATCCCTTGAATTCATCTATGTTGTTTGCAAGTTTTGAATTTTTAGAATTTTAGGATGCTTTTTCATAATTTGAACTTTTGAGGGTGTTTCTATAATTTTTTAGACATTGAGATGTTAACCACAAATTTTAAATTTTTTGTCGGCTGCTGTTAATTTCTTGATTTCATGTTTGTTGTTTTAAGTTTTGAAATGTCAGGATGATTTTTATGATTTTGAACTTTTTAGGGTATTTGTGCAATTTTAAAACTTTTTTGAGTTTTTTTATAATACTTCATGTATTATAGTATGTTAGCTACGTATAATTTTTTTACTTAAAAAACTAATACGTAAAGCTTGTTTATATATTTTGTTAATATTATTTTTTTTAAAATTGTTATACTATAGATAATTCATGTGGAATTAGGATAGGATATAATTATGATTAGGATAGATTAAGATTTAAATAAAATATTTAAAATAGTGAAGGTAATATTGACCATGAAAAACTTTTCGTGAACTCGTGCTTTTAAAGAGATATATATATATATATATATATATATATATAGCACACTAGGAAGTAACCTATCCCTTTCCTGTTCAGACATCAACTGTTATTAATTTTAACAAGTTCAGGTGTGAGTCGTGTGACTTGGTTGCCATATAGTGTAATAAGTTAACTGAAGTGCTGAAATTGGTAATTACTAGTGTAAGAAAATGACTGATTCATCATTTAGTTTTTATATTGGTGGAAACCAATTTCTAAGATTTAACTTTTTTTTATTAACAATGTGGCATAATCACATAAAGACACATGCCTGGGAGTGCTTATCCCAAAATGAAGTTGGAAATGCTAAGATAGTCTATGTTTTACAAGCTCGTGTTTGTGTATCCCTGTTTTACATAAATAACAAACTTTTATTTTCCTGTATGCTTAAGTTTGTCTGAGTTCTACCAAATCTACATGAGTCCCTGAAAATATACAAATATTAATTGGAATAACAACTCTTTTCTATTGAACTTGTAACCCATGTGAGTTGATATTTGAAATTATTATAGGGGAGATTAAAGAGTTTTAGTTATATAAACCCATAAATGTATACTTATACCTTCATCCTCAATGCATGTATCAGTTTCTTTAAACTTTTCAGTATACTAAGTGCAGATAATGACCTATGATGTATTTTAATCCTCTCCCTCTCCCTCTCTCCTAATATGAGGACCGAGTCACAACCTCCCAGTGTTATAACAAACCAGTTAAAACTGAATGGATGTATTCCTCAACTTGTGATATTTATTTTGGAAAAAAGTTCATCAGCTTTTTTATCAAACAGATAATATTTATGATATTGGATGCTTAATGTTCAATTTTTGGGTTATCTCATTAGATTTCTGTCTGACCCTTAAAATTCTGGATGAAGGCTTTGTTCCTTTGTTGTTTTTGTTCATTAAATTTCTGCTGGAAGTGTGTGCCTGAACTTCTCCACCAGACAAATATTAGTATGATTTAATGTTACAGATTTTTGAACATTCAACTAAGTTTTATTTTTTACTCCTTTAAATATCTGCTGAACTGTTTACCTGCTCTTTTGGCAGATATGTGTTGAAGACTGAAAAGGCTGATGTATATCGATTGCCATACCTGGCAAGTAGTGGCCCTGGATTTGGTCTGTGCTCTACCATAATTTCTTTGAGTCAATTTTTAATGCACAATCATCTACAGTACTAGCACATTACATTGAAATACTTGTCTAGTGTTATCTCATCCTATATCAAAATTCTAAAGGTGTAATGAGGGTTGAGGGTATAAATAATATACCCTAAGATACTAAAACCTATATGATGCAGGACGATTGTTAGCTGTTGATCAAGAATTTTTGAGATTTATTGGTATCTTTGTTATTTTTGTAATATTTAATGTAATCTCCAATTTCAGGTAAAGATCTCCTTAGGATTAGATTTAGGTTTGTTAGGATCTTTGAGATTTATTTTGTTAGAGATTTTATTTTTGCTTTCTTTTTATTAGGATTTGGTTAGGATTTGATTTGCTTTTTAGGTTTAGTTTTTCTCTATAAATAAAGTTGTAATCCTCCATGAGTAATTAGACTATTAGAGTAGAGAGTACTTTTAGTATCTATTTTCTTTATTAAGTGCTTTAGTCTCACATCGAGTACGCTTGTAATCTTAAACTATTTATCTATCTATATAATAAAGAGGACTGATCCACGATGGGGATCAAGTCACTTTTTCCACAAGAACATGGTATCAGAGCATGTTATGAAAATCCTAACTTTCTAATTCCCTCCTGAAACCCTAATCCCCTGCTCAGATCCTAATCCTCAAACCCTAATTGCCATCTCAAACCCTAATTTCTCCTCAAACCCTAATTTTCATCTCAAATCCTAATTTCTATCTCTCCTTCTTAAATTGTCCTCATCCATCTCTCCAAGCTTAACCCCAATCAACTCCTAACCTCTCTCACCCTGAACTGTTCATCACGTGAACAATAGGCTCGATATTCGTTCATCACATGAACAGTAACATTGATACTGTTCATTGCGTGAATAGTGCCTCGGTATTGTCTCGTCTAGGTCTTCATCTCTTCTACAGTTAATCACCTCCACATCACAGAATCTTGACGACATCGCATAGATCATGATGATAATTCAGATCTAATCATCGCTACTCCATCAACGACGTACTCCTAGACCCTTGCTATCATGTTGATGCCTGAGTACCAAGGTTTTAAATATCGGTTATCGGGGATTTATCGGACGGTCAAAATCCTTATCGGATAGCGGAAATCGGGGATATATCGGGGATAAGTAGTATTTATCGGAGTGATATAGTGGATGGTGTATATATATAATATAATAACTAAAAATATAATCTAACCATGCTTAATGAAATATTAACATACCAAAATGTAAATAACCATGTTTAGAATCACTAACCAATTGTCGAAAGAGAAACTTGCATCTCGACCGCACGATGAAACCATTCAATTGCATAGCCTTAAAAAAAATAATGTTAGTCAAAATGGAATAATAAACAAGCAAAGGATAAAATAACATCATGAATAAAGAACCATCTATGCATGTATAATGTTAGTCAAAATGGAATAATAAACAAGCAAATGATAAGATAACATCACGAATAAAGAACCATCTAGGGATCTACATAAGTATTGTGTAATCATGAGATTCATAAACTAACTAAGTTGATATTTAGTGGTTATGAGCTATATTAATATCCATAAACAAACAAAAGCTATCAACAATCACCCAAGTTTCAAAAGCAACAAATAGTTCATAATTCTAAGCATTCAAATAGCAAATCCAAAAGAAAGCAAAGCTGCAAAAGCAAAGATAACTAAATTAATCTTCATCGGAGCTAAATGTTGGAATATTATCCATTCCCTCATCTGAATCATACTCCGAAGATTCCATGTCTTCCTCCTCATCTTCCAAAGGCTCCTTTCCCTTTGATGAAGATTCTCCCAACTTTTTCTTTCTTTTATATTGTTTTGTTCTAACACTCTTTCTCTTTTTAGGATTAGCTCCAATGAGATCTCCATATTGTCTCCAAGTAAGGGATTCCCCCGCAAACACTTCATCATCGCTCTCATCATGATGACCTCCTCTCTTCTTTGTAGTCATCAACCACTCGGAGGACCTTTCTTCATCATCAAAGGCAATTAAAGGATCTCTACCCTTGTTGGAATGCTTATTCTTCAACCTTGAATTGAACTTGACGTAGACCAAATCATGCAATTTCCGATGTGTTAGTCTATTTCTCTTTTTTGTATGAATCTACAAATTAGAATCACAAAGGACAAATTAGTCTCAAATATCATCCAATATGATTTAAAGTTAAAAAGAGCCATTACCATCTCGAAGGTGCTCCAATTCCTTTCACATGCTGAAGAGCTACTTGTTAAGCTCAAAATTCTCATTGCCATCATCCTCAACTCGGAAGCGTCAATGCCAAAAAGTTTCCACCATATAACTAGTTAAGTCATAGTTGCAAACAATTAGTAACTTGTAAGTTGTAACATTCAAACAAGAATTAGTCAAATCACCAAATTAATTTGAATGAAAAATGAAAATATACCCGGATTATTATTAGGCTTTTTTGCTTCTCTCTTTGCAAGTTCTCTCCCGAATGATCCTCTTTGATGCTGATAATCAGAGAGTTGGTCTCCAATCTTGCCAAGCATGTCACCATCATCTGGATAGAATTTATTCATACAATCAACAAGGCAACTCAAGAAACTTCCATCTCTTTCAATCTCCATAAGATTTGGATAGTAGAAATAAGGATTTAAATAATATCCTGCTTTATGGAGTGGTTCTTTAAGCTTGACATCAAATCTCTTATCAATAATCTTCTCTATAAGAAGATATTTCTTCTCTTCATCCTGAAAGGCCTCTTTGATTTCCTCCTTAGCCTTCATCATGTCTCCATACACAAACCCCATTGAGGGGATTTTATCACTATCTACTCTCCTTAGAACCTTCACCAAAGGAGAAAAAACTCTAAGGGCAAGATCAACGTTGTCCCAAAACTTGTTGCTATGAATAATCTCAGTAACCTACAAATAGTCAAAAAACATAATAATCAGTAATACAATAGAATTATATATTCTAAAGAAAATGAATATTTTTAGTTATTAGTTACAAACTTTAACTTTTAAATTATATTGTACCTTTTTCCCCGCTTCTTTTGTTGAAAGCTCGCATTCCATCCATTCATTAGAGACAAACATTTGCTTCAACACTTTCTTTTTATCTCTCAATGACTCCAAAGCAAGGAATGCTGTGGCAAATCTCACATGAAGAGATCTCGTGTGGCTATAGATGTACACCGATACAGTTCTTCCCATTGCAATTGCACTCCGAATAGGTCTTATTTTGGCTATATCGGCTAACATCAAATTAATAGTGTGTGCCGCACAAGTTGTCCAAAATATATTTGGCTTCTTAATTGCTAAGCTTTTTGCGGCTGCCATGTTATTTGAAGCTCCATCTGTGATAATTTGCACAACATTCTGTGCCCCCAACTCTTCAATTGCTTTCTCCACATAATTGCATATATAATTCGCATCATGCTTGTCGCCTGATGCATCACATGAACCCAAAAATACTATTCCTCCATCTGAATGCACAACTATATTCATAATACTTCTCATCTTTCGATCACTCCAAGCATCGGTCAGTATGGAGCACCCGTTAAGTGCACAACTCTTCTTAAAATTTTCAATGATCTCCCTTGTCTCATCCACCTCTCTCTGTAGAATAGTCTCCCTCAATTCATATGGTGTCGGAGCATCCAAGAAGGCTCCAAACTTTCCAATAGCATGCACCATTTGTATGAAAGAAGGAATACTTGCGGTATTAAAAGGGATGCCAGCTTCATAGAACCATCTCCCAATGTACCTGTTCACATCATCTCTTACCTTCTTCCTATACTTGCTGTCCATCACTGGTTGTTTCATTTTTAATACTAGTTCGGCTGACTCCTCATGAGAGCGGCCCGCAAAAGCGTCCATTGGCCCTTTCGTCTTGAAGGAGGATGATGATGAGCTTCTCTGACTCTGAGTAGATGCGGTCACACTCCCTTCATATCCCTCTTCCTCCCCGATATGAACGTCATCGAGTAAATCCTGCATTTTCAACTCCTTTGCACCCTTATTCTTCTTAGCACTATCAATGATTTTATTTACTTTTTTCTTCACATCTCCGAGGACCTTCTCACATGGCAAACAATTCCCTTTGATTCCAGCCAAGTGTTGTTTGAACCGGCTTATGCCTCCACACATAGACTGCCCACAAAACTTGCACCGAACCTTTAAAGCATCATTACCAACCCGCTCAGCATATGCCCAACAAGAATCTTTACCGGCTGACTTTGGTGGTTTATTAGATGCTTGGCCTTCAGAAGACATTCTCCTGTCAACATGAGATAGTGAACCGTGAACACAAGTTTGAAAATAAAATAGCAACACAATTACACAATTGTATATTTATTTTATTTATTTCACCACATCATAAAATTTTATGCCTAACACTGACTTGTTCTATTTTGTTGCAGACTTGAGATCAAAATGACATCAAGATTTTAAGGAATGAAGTAAGGAACTGAGGAAGATAACTTAAAATAGCAATTGTAAACTATTTGGAGATCCAAGTTGTATATTTATTTAAGTTGTAAATTAATTGTAATTACAACTAAATTTTCTTATACAGTCTCACAAGTATTTTCTTAAAATTAATTACAAGTATTCTATAAACAACAAACAAGTCTCACAACAGAATAAGTCTCACAACAATACTCAAAATTAATTGCTCAAGTAAAAACTAATTGCTCAAAATTAATTGTAATTACAATTAAATTTGCTTATACTGTCTCACAAGTATTTTCTTAAAATTAATTACAAGTTTTCTATAAACAACAAGTCTCACAACAGAACAAATCTCACAACAATTAATTACAGTCTCCCAACAATTAATCACAGTAATACAGTCTCACAATAGAAATTCTATAAGATTAAAAAGAAAAAAAGATACATGTTTGAGTAGATAATTCACGGAATTTCTTCACAACAAGTCTCACAAGTCAGAGACGAGGCTAGAAGAGAAAGTAGATAATCTATTCAAAGAACAACAAAAATCAACTTAAAAAAATAGAAAATAAAACAGCAACAGAGACGAAGAGACGAAGGACAGAAGAGAAAAAAAACAAACTTCGAAGGTGAGAAGAGATGAATGATACCTGTTCGAGGCGACGTTCGCTGGAGCTTCACGAAGTCGAGGCGACGTTCGTTGGAGCTTCATGAAGTCGAGGCGAGAGCACGAAGTCGAGGCGAGAGCACGAAGTCGAGGCGAGAGCACGAAGTCGCTGGAGCTTCACGTCACGAAGTCGAGGCGAGAGCACGCCACGAAGTCGAGGCGAGAGAACGAAGTCGCTGGAGCTTCACGAAGTTGTGGTTCGCTGGAGATTCATGAAGGCGAGAGAGGAAGAACAACCGCAGAGGAAGTCTAGGGTTTTTAGATCTGGATTCACGAAGGTCAGGGCTTGATTTTTCGTTTTATTGTGAAAACGAGTCGGGTCGGGTTTCATATCTCAACAACATGACTCAA